TATCTGTTATAAAATAATTCATAGAAACAGACAACATTCTATTATATGGTTATAAGTAGAGGTGAGCGCAGGTCTTGAAATTGCACGTGGCATGATGAGTCAAGGCGTGAGCGTGAATAAATTTTAAATTATTAGGCGTGACGGGCCTTCCCAAAATTTATGTCTGGCATAATTTGACGTGAACATAAATTTCCCGTATTAATAGGCGTGAAGGGCCTTCCTAAAATTTCTGTCTGACGTAATTGGATGTGAACATAAATTTTCCGTAAATCACGGAAATGTTTTTTTATCAATATAAATTTGCAATTTTAAAATTAAAATATATATTCTCAAATTTAATTAAGTTCACTTAAAATAATAATTTTTGAAAATAAAAAAAACTTCCATATTTTATAAACAACACTTTTTTCCCATCTTATAAAATTTCAAATGAAAAATAACAAATCTCCCAACTCTTGTTCAGCAATGGAAATTTTCTAATAAATATATTTAATTTAAATATGTTTTATTTTCATTTCTCTTTAATAAAATTTTTATCAATATTCAAAGAATGCTCGGATAATCTGAGCGCTGATTCTCGTCCCATAATATGAAGTTTATCTATAGAAAAAAAAATTAGTAAATTGTCAACCTTCTTAAAGTAATACAATAATAACCAAAACCCTAAAAACAGGACAACATTTCTTTTGAATAAAAGATTTATTATACAGCCATTATTATTCCAAATCCAAGTTTCAAAAGTCTTAAGTTTTTAATAGATGAAGAAACGAAAGATATATATATATATAAAGCAACCTTAAATATTCTAAATGATATAAAATTAGATGATAATTTATAACTTCTCTAATTTATCCTGCACACATAAAAACCCGATATTCTAAATGAAAAATTAAGAGAATTTAAAGATGATTCTGAATCATCAATATCTACCGATAAAAGTTGTGAGGATGAAGATGAACTTAAAAGATTCATCGCTCATAAAACAAATAACAATGACAATATTTTAAAGTTTTGGAAGCAGGAAAATCCATTTCCTTTTTTGAGTAGCTAGTAAAATTTTGTCAGCCTCGGCAAGTTCAGTTTAGAGTAAAAGGTTATTTTCTATAGCCAAAATCGCTTATTAGAGGAAAGGGAAGCACAATTGAAATAAAAAACATGGAAATTCTTCTTTTTCTAAATAAAAATTTTGATTTATAAAATTGCAATTATTTTGTGTTAATAATATGGAATTAGGGAAATAAAAACTATGCTAGAAAAATTTCAAAATGGCGTAAAAGAATAGCGATAAAGTTTTGAAAAAATTTAAAAACACAGTGAATTTTCGGACGTGATCAAAATATTTTCTTGGGTCAAAATTTTTTAGTATTAGGCGTGAAAGGGTAAATTTTTATTGCCATTGTGAGTGGGCGGGCCATGAATAACAAATTAGGCCCGGGCCCACCTCTAGTTATGAGACATCCGTAGAAAAATATAGCCAGAGTTGTTAAAGAATCGCAATTAAAATATAAACGCTTCTGATCAATCCTATTTTAGAAAATTGTCCTGATGGACGATTTTTTATAAAAATGACGACAATCGAGATCCTTTTATTAATAAACGATCATTCGATCCTTTTAAAAAATATTTATTTTAATTCGATAAATAAATCTTTATTTATTCTTTCTATTTATCAATCTACCTACTGTCTAACTATCTCAATCTTTCTTTCTAAAAAAATGTTCCTTTTATTAGCCCAATGTTTTTTCTTATAGTGTCCTATTTGTTTAACCAATCATGTCATTTAATCACGAGGTAATCAAAAATATTAAAAAATTCTTTTTTTTAAAATTTATAATAGAAATTCAACCTACAATAAAGAAAACTCTAACAAAATTTTTTGTCTCCGTCACAACTCAGTCAAACCTATTTCTTTATTTTACCCACTCTGATCTCGAACTCCCCCTTTTACCTGACCTTCAATTCCTTATCAATATTAAATTTAGCCTCGTACTCCCTACCCCCTTCTCTAAAAAAAATCTCACCATATTTCGTTACCACCTAACCTTTATTCATTCTATAAGCTTTTCTCCCCTCTTTATCATATTTACCTCCTTATGGACATTTTCTTTTATCTTATTCCCTAGATCATTATTCCCTGGGCGCCTACCGGAATTCAAATACTACCCCAATACAATATCCTTACCTTATTTACTAGCTTCTAATCTTTACCTGAATTTTTAACATTGGATTATACCACAATACCTCTTTTCATTCTACCCATCACCCACTCTGATATAAAAAAATTACCGTTAGTTATTTTTTTTCATGTTAAAAACTTTGGATAGGGTGATACAACATCGATCCTATATGATATATTTGTTGGAAATTATGTTTAGTAATATATTTTTCACCTATTTATAATTTCGCACAGTTATCAGAGCTCTCCAGACTTCAATCAAACCAATAGCGCTGAACCTCATCTGTTTGTCTAAAATATTATATAGTGTGACCCATGATGATAAAACCTAATATATGTCTTATATTCTATTTAATTTTGGACGATAATTTATCTACTCCCGGATTTATAATTAATTCCTAGTGTATATATACAATGTTAACCAAAAAACAGCATAAAATTTTTCATTGTTCTATTTGTTTTTATTATAAACTATTTAGAATGAATAAAAAATAATTACTAATCGTTAATGTTAAATCGACCAAAAACGAGATTTTTGGACGACCATCTATAAAATGAACGAAACTTGCTCAATCAGATACAATGATAAAGGTTTCCAAAGTAGAAAATCGCGTAAAGAAAAATACTAATAATATTCGTAAATTATATATCATTCTATAGACCTTAAAATTCTAAATTGGAAAAAAAAATTGAAAATTTTTTTTATTTCTGGTAAATGAAAAATTAAAAATATTAAGAAGGGATATTTTGGCAGTGTTGATATTTGCTAGGAATGTTTATTACCTTTATATTAAACTGCTTAATCATAAAAATTGATAGCGTTTTTTCATTTTATTTAAATTTTTATTCTTTTTATAAATAAAAAAAAATAATATAGATTTTACTATGCTTAAAATAATCTTGTAAAATTATTTTGTCATATATATTATTCTACAGGGATTTATTCCTGTTCAATCCAGCCAAATATCAGCTGAAATATGTTGGAACCGGAGCCTTTATTAAATCCTTTTCTTCTTTCTTTCTTTCTGATTTAAAATATTAAAGATTTTTTAAAAAATATCACATTTCAATATTGCTGACTTTTACTGTTGTTTAAGAAACAAATTTAAAAAATATCATATTTTATAAAATTTGGTCTTGCATTGAAAAATTTCTCCTGAGATTTAAAAATTTTGACCTGGCAACCATGGTTTTATTGTATTTAGATAAAATATTGTCATTGTTTAGCAAATTACTATTTCCAAAATATTGAGTTTTTACATCAACCAATATTTTGATAATATTTATGTCAAAAACTTTTGTAACATCCTGCTCAATTTCATGCCAATTTGAGGTAGCCATGGCTTCAAACTGGTTATATTTAGAAATATATAAGAGAAAATTATTTATATGATTAATGTTGCAAATTAGTGTTAATTTTAAAAGATCAAATAATATTTATGATTAAAATAGCTTAAAAGATTCCCAAACATAATTATCCAGGGCAAATTCCCCTAAAATGAAAAAAGGGATAACGTTAAATACTGGTTTAGGGTGATCATGTGATATATTAAATTAAACTTTGATATTATGTAAATTGGATATATTACTTTTATATTATGTAAATTGGACATAGAAAAAGGTTAATTTACTTTCGATATAAAAAGAGATCTTATTATAAAACATATCAGTTTTTACATTCAACTATTTTTGTATTGGAATTCAATTCATTTTGCATGTTTAATTCTTATTTAAATCCTTATATTTGAACTGAGCTAAATCCCTACATAATACCCAATCTCCAATTCCCCTCAATATGACAACTATCGAAACATTATCATTCCCAATACCGATTAAATAGAGAGACCAGGCATGACTAAAATAAGCGCCCACTATCAAAGAAGCTTAATTTAAATTATATTATTACAGAATCGTATTTAGCTTCATAAGATGAGTTAGAAAATGTTTATTTTTATTTTAAAAAAATGGCATAAAAAATTATTTTTTTACATGACTAAACTACGTGCCCCCTATCAAAGAAGCTTAATATATAAAAAATGAACACAGAATCATATATAACTTATGAAAAGGAATCAAAAAATGTTAATACTAAGTTTATAAATTATTTATAACTTATTGAGATTTTGAAAAAACACTTAATTTCTTCTTTTTTGATTAAATTTTTTTTTTAAATTTTACTATGTTGCCATTTTTTTAAATAAAAAAAACATTTTCTAACTCATCTTATGAAGCTAGTACGATTTTATATTAATATAATTTAAATTAAGCTTCTTTGATAGGGGGCACATAGTTTTCGTAGGTGTGTATTTTAGTCATCCTTAAGAGACCATAACAATTCTCAGGGCAAGATCTTACCCGCTTGTCAATAGTAAGATAACCCCTTGATATTGGGGACAATAAATAAATAGCAGTGTGATCACATGTATTTATATAGTTTTTTCTTTTTCCAAGCATATTTTAAAAAATTTTTCAAATTTTTTAGAGTATTTGATCAAATTACTTTTCTGGTCAATTTACTAAATTTGACTGGTCAAGTATTGCTTTTTGTTTTGCCCATCTCTTTTATTCTTAGCTCATGAACATATAAACAACAGTTCTTGGACTTTGTGTGTACAATTATGTGTGGCTTGCCCAAAAATGTGTGAAGGGCTACTCATTTTTTTCTTATAATAAAAACCTAGTATAGCACTGTTATTTGTCAACACTAAAGAGCTTAGTGCTGAAATCATGTATAATGAATATAAAAAATGATAATAAAAAGTTTGCACTATTTGTTTTTCCTGTCCAAGAGATTTTTGCCAAACACATAAAATGTAATAAAAACCTTTAATAGTCCTTGCATCAGTCATTAATACTTGTCCATCTTCACAAGCTACACAAAATATATTATCATTAAATGGATCTACAGAGAGGCCATATATGGCATCATCATATAAAAAAACATTTTTTGCAGTGTTCCTTTTGTAAAGTTTATTAAATTATTTACAAAAATAATGAATACAAACTTATTCAAATCATGGTGAATAACCTGTTCATCATTACCTAAATTAAAATACATAAAGTTTAACATATTTGTTAACTTACCAGAACTGAACAATGAACTAGTTTGAGAATCAAATGCTAAGCAAAATATATTACTATTATGAGCAGCAGATAGGATTAATGGTTCATCATCTAATGCAAAAGTTTTCTTCACATTCCAGATGAATATCCTTTTATCATCACCACCTAAATTTGATTGAAACTTATATCTAAAATTTGTTTAATACCAGATGCTAAATATCGTCCCCCATCTCTTGAAAATTCAACAGCATTTACACAACCATAATGACCATATAAATCTAAACAAAATATCCCAATATTATTTCCAAACTTTAATCGATTATATATAATTGGAAAGTTTTGTTCTCCTAGTAAAGACTGATTTAATAATTTAATTATAGTGTTATTTATTTTCATTTTTAATAATTCGTTTAATTATCTCAAACTATTATATAAAGATTTGACGAGTGCTTAGCACAATCAATTGAACGCTGTTTAAAGTTGACAATTATGCAAGTTCTGTCATTTTATTGACATAACAAATGACAGATTTTCATTTTAAAATGTTTAAATTAGAGATGATGTTACATAAAAACTCCTAAGAAGGTTTTGGAAAAGTAATTTGAGAAAGATTATGGAACGCTCAGGAAATAGTGATTCAGGCATTTGGACAACGTGTTGAGAAGTTTAGGTAGCTTTATGTTTTTTAAATTAATTTTTTTATGTGTTCTCAAAAAAAAAAAAATCTTTGAAATTGCAGGGATGAATACAGCTCATTTATCTTAATTTCGTTGGTTATTATAATAATTTAATTTAATTATTCGTTAGTTAATTATAATCAATTTTTTTGAAATTCTCTATTATTTTTTTTTCAATTTAAAATAATTTTAAAAATATATATTCAAAAAATATATAAAATAAAAATCATATTTATAGACTTGATATAAAACTTATATATTTTTATATATCTTGATTGTAGCTAGCATTGATATTATAAAAGTAAATTACTGGTGTTCTTTTGATTATTTTTTTATAAGTGATTGATTTGTATCAATTTCAGGAAGAGGACTGTTAAAAGGATTTTATTTACACTGCTGTTAAAATATTTTATACAAATATTAAATAATTAGGTAATAACCCTTCATTAATTGTTTTTTATTTAAATAATTAATCTAAAAATTAAAATAATAATTAAATAAAATAATAATTAAATAAAATAAAATTAAATATAAAACCTTTTTTGAAATAACAATAGTTGGAGGCAAATGAGTAATTAAATTATTTTGTTTTGATATAATTAAAGATGTGAATTTTATATTATTTAATTATCTCCTTTCTCTTTGACATTTAATTGAAATTGACCTTTCCTAGATTAAATGTATATTAAAAAAGAATACAGAAAATAATATTACATTATTTTTTGAAAGATTGTATTCCTAGGTATATGAGAATTTATATTCTTCATTGTTATTCTTATCTATATTAAATAATATAGCTAACTTAAAAAAATATATAGAAATAACATTGTTAATTATTATGTCACAAAAAATTAGGGTAATTTTCTGGTTTTTTCCTTAGAGAAAATTGGAATAAATATAATATGAATTATATATACTACATATATTTGATTGATGGATAGGAATTGAGTTTAAATTGGCTAAATATAATCTATCTTTTTTTAGAATCTAAATTTTAAGGTTATGTTATTATGAAGATAAATAGATTTACCATTTTATTTTAATATATAATTATATAATGTGAGAAATACTAAAAAATTAAATCAAAACTATTTTACTTTAATTTTAAAGATAAAATTAAGTTAATTCAGAAATATCGCAAAAAAAGAAGAAATAAAATTTAAACCAATAAGATAAGAGCTTAATAAGCCAATAAAATAAATATTGTTATAAACAAATTAAGTTAATTAAAGAATAAATGTTAGTTACTTTATCAAATAATTGTTTCATATATAAGAAGAATTGTAATACAAAATTTATGATAGAAGACTGAGTAAGAAAGAACATTTGCTTTTGGAATGTTAATTCTAGGGATGGAATCTAGTTGATGTATAAAAAAAAATTTTTAAATAAATAATTTAAAATTAGAGGTCGATTTATTAACATTAAGATAATAGGAAAGTTGATAGAAAAAATAAAATTAACATTAAGATGATAGGAAAGTTGATAGAAATAATTAACATTAAGATGATAGGAAAGTTGATAGAAAAATTAAAAATAACATTAAGATTATACGAAAACGTTCATTTCTTGATTACGGTGATTACATATTAAATGCACAATTATATATCTATATTATAATTTTCCGATGTCCTCTCAAAGTCAGTCATATCATCATGACGCATGTCCTAGATACACCATTGGTAAGTAATTTATTATTTTTAAATTCTAAATATAAATAAAAAAATTAATTTTTAAATACCCAAAATATAAAATACTACCTAAAAACAATCAACTTATAAATGAACAAGTTATCCAACTCTCATTCAAAAACCATGAGAATTTATTTTTCTAGCCCACATATTCTTTAAAGTACATATAAATAAATAAGATTAATTATCCATTTTTCTTACAAAAGTTTTTTTGATATATTAGGTCACTCCCTAAGGATATTTTTAGAGGGTTTATCTTCAATTATATAAATGGCAAGACATTCTAATAAAATATTTTTAAAGACAATATACCAAAAACATAAATCAATCTCAATTAAAAACCATCGTAATTATTTGTTCTACTATCCCACATATTCTTTTAAGTGCCTAAATTTTTTAGATTAATTACCCATTTTTCCCTTCTTTTGTTAATCATATATTTGTTTTTTTAAATTAATTTAATAGCTTTAAAATTAGAAAAGTTTATCACCAATGATAAATCAATAACTACAATCGGTGCAGTGGCGTAGCTAGGAATTTTCCTTAGAGGGGGTGCATACATATAAAAGCCTGGGGGGATTCGCTTCCCAAACCTCCTTATACGGGCCTTTGTCCCTTTTGCCCGGCCTTCGGCCGGGTTTATCTTACAAATCATAACCATATCTTCGGTAATATATAATAAATATATTTTTTAAATGCATCAATAATATGTTATTATAATTTAGTGGATTATTCTCAATGACTTTATGATAATACTATCCAGAATAATTTCAATAGTAATATAATACCTTCCACAAACATCAAAACCAGAAAAATATAAATATTAATGGTATTTATTTGATATAAAGTCACTTTTAAGTCATTTGAACGTATAATCTAAAAAAATATTTTTGCTCTGGGAGGGGTCCAAACCCGAAAACCACCCCCGTAGCTACGCCACTGAATCGATGTATTGTTAGGTTATATCGATTAATTCTGACTTATACGAGTAATTAATGGCAATGACCCTTCAACTAAGATATGGTTAAAGGACATTAGACAATAATCTATTTTTATTATTCAAATATATTTTAATATAAAATTTTAAGGATCGTAATTTAGACAATAATCTATTTTTATTAAATTTTAAAGAATGTATTTTATTCAAATTTGCCATTTGGCCTCCCCAAACAATGTTCCACATTTTATTCTGCTGATTATTTTGTAATATTCACTAAGAAACATGGTTCTCTATTTTTATTATTTAAATTGGATTAAAAGAACAATACATATTTGTTAAAGATACTATTTTAGTTGACTTTAAAAAACAGCCCGATTGCAATTTAAGCCAAATAAAATTATGTAAATCTCGAAATCTGACAAATAGAGGTCTAAACATTTTTGCCACCTATGAGAAAAATCTCTATACTTACATAACATTATTTTGGCCAAAATCTTAATTTAGGCATATTTAAAAATTCTAACAAGAAGGGGGTCGTTTAACAATACTAAATACATAGTATGATATTTGTAACATTTGAGTTTTTAAACAAATTGGAAAAGTTTTTGAAGCTTATGAAGAAAATAATTATTTAGAGGTAATTACTTGTCAATAAAATTTATTCCATCCAGCAAATAATAAATTTGAAACAATAGAAATAAACGTTCAAAAATTATAAATATCTAATATAAGTGAAAAAAGTTAAATTGAATAATAAAAAAAATACCAAAAACTAAAAAAGTGAACAACTAAAAAATTGCAAAAAAATAAAAGTATGAAATCTCAAAAATTATATTGCATATAATATAATCTTAAACATATTATTTGCTTAAGAAAAATATATCAAAACTCTCCTAATCTTTTGTGATTAACAATATTTCAATATCATTTATATAAATTTGAATAACAATACTTCCTTAATTGCTTATATAAATTTGCATATCATTTAAAAACAAAAATTTTAATTATATTCCATTATAACAGCATCCCTTTACTTCAATTAGTTCGCAACCTTTTATTGGCTATTAAAATTAGTCTTTTTAATTTTTGTTCCTAAACTATGTTACTTGTCTTATCCTTAAAGATTGTCTTCGTTGGTTAATTATCCAACGAGTTGCTTTAATCACATCTTCTGTTACTCTTTTGTACTTTCTATTCTAAGTGATGACGACGACTATTCTTTGTCTAGTTAATATTCATAGTTATCGTAGATTCCAACGACTCTTGTCGAATACTGTAATGTATTAATATAAATATAAATTGGGGTATGACTAAATACTGTCTTTCTAAACTGTCTTTCTAAAAAGCAATTAATCATAATTAATCATAATTTGATGATATAATATCTTTTAAAAAAAATCTTTCAAAATCATTTTTTTTATTTTACATAAATCAATTTTTACTTAATTAAAAAATTGATATTAAATATCAAATAATTTAAAATTCTATTTTTACTTAATATTATTGGAAAAAAAATATATTTACTAGCTTATTACAACTTATATTTTATTTTTCAATTACAAAATTTAACAAATTTATATCCATAAGAGGGCGTTAAATACATAAATATGAAAATATATTTTATGGAAATCAGAATAAATATTGGATAGCGCTTTTTTGTATTTGGGTGTAAATACATGTGAAAAACCTAAAAAAAATTTAAAAATAGAGGTTTATTTGAGATTTAATTAATGAGTTGGTTTAGAAGCGAAAAATAGTAGATAGTTTGTAAAGAACATATTGCTGGCGTTATTGATCAAAATCTCTTGATTTTTTGTTTATACGTGTATATTTAGGTGTTAAACATTATCCTAAAAAATATTTTGAAAATATTATGATTTGACCGAATGCCGGGCTTAAATCCGACCAATTACTAAATATTCGATCGACCAAATTTGGTGTTAATATTATTTGGAAAATAATCATTTTTGGTTTATTTATCTATAAATACGTGCAAATCATTATCCCGATAAATATTTTAAAAATATCGTGATTTGACAGAAAACCGATTTGAAACCGGCCCAATGACTAAATACTGTCTTGCTGGCGTTATACATGGAAAA